GGGGGTGCGGGGTTCATTACCTAAAAATCAAGAGCCAAGTTTGAGAAAGGTGCTCTAGAGATCAACAAGATAGGCTGAAATTGTCCAATTGTTTATGGAAAAAGTAGTTGTTTCAAGTTTCAGGCACATGGACTTCTTACACAGTGTCATTATTTTGTTTAAAAAGTGCAAGAAGGGATGGAAAGTTGTCCTTTGTACAGGTTGTTGTCTTATACAGGTGGCCACCAGAGCAGGCTCAACAATTCACTCAATGAACAAATACCAGCTTATCTGACTGGATTGATTCAGCTAACCTTTCTTTACAACAAATCAAAAAAATCAGAAACAATTCAATAAGAACCTGTCACTCCGGCATAGATATATAACATGCAATCGTCTGGAATTCGGTGCATATCAACGATCTATTCTCGAGTATCAATTTTGAAAACGCTCGACAGTTGAGCGTTGATTAAAGGCTGAGAAAGGTTGTGAATCTACCATTCTCTCTCCCCTCGATAGGGATGTGGGGAAATTAGATTATACAATAATGTCGTACAACAATGTACTTTTACCTCATTGACCCCCCCCCCCACCTTCTCCTACTTTCTCACCTTTCATGAAAGGTTCTGTCTCCCGTTCCCACAGTTTAGTTTAATGTTTCACTTCAGGGTTCAATGTTTTAAGTCGATAGAGACATGGGTTACTTAAACTGGCCATGTCGTGTGTTAGGTTCATTTTTTTTCTTTTGTTTTGCTTTTTCAGGTTTTTTTATTTTTTTTTTTTTTTTAATTTCTGAAGAACTTTTGGGCCCTCTGAGCGCGATGTCACAGGGGTAATTTTGACATTAGTTATTCTATTACTTTTCCTCCCATTTCACACCTTGGCCACGATTTGTCATTTTCTACTGTAAATTGATGCCCTGAACATGAATATTGGTTTCAATTCCATTGCAAATGAATAGTTTTTAAAATATTTGACGGTTTTTAATCAAAGTTTGTCACACTAAGCCTACCTGCATAGTAATTTATGTGCTTTTCACCAATCGG